GCGGTTATGTAACTCTAAGTGCTTTCAGTGGTAAGAAACACGAGTCTATCGGTATCGCTCATGCTCCGGTGCATGCCTGCGCTCGCTCCCTCGCGCCGGTGGTGTGCACCGTGAATCTGCACCGAATCTGCACGATCGTCCCTCCCTCTCCCGTGAGATGGCCGCGGCGATCGCCAGCTCGCTCATCCGACAGAAACGGCAGGCGCGCGAGTCAAACAGCGAGCGAGTGGTGTCCGGTAAGCGTCGCTCCAGCCCCGGTAAAGAGCCCTCGGGCCGAGGCTCCCTGTGCGATCGGCACCTGTTCGGACTCTTCTGTAAAGTCCGATTCTGCAGCGGGAAGAAACGACCCGTGCGCCGGAAACCAGGTCAGTTCATTCACACCTGTGCGTGACGCTCACCTGTGCGCGCGGATTGAGAGTTTGATGCATCTGTCGCTGTTTATACTTCATGATGTTACTGCACGTCAGATTTCGCTTGATTGTTTTATTGATAACTGTGAGGACTGCATTAACATTTATAATGCCATTGTAACAGGTAGTTTATGTAGCCTGCGTTAAAAACAAATGATAGATAGATAGACAGATAGATCACAATAAACACTTTAAAGTATATAGTAGGGATGGAATGTAGCCTATTAATTTAGTTACATTAGATATAAAATATTAATATAGATGAATATATGATATTTTTTATTGATAACTTTGCATTAACATTGATATTGTTTAACAGGTAGTTTATGTACATACAAAGATAGATAGATAGATAGATAGATAGATAGATTACAATAAACACCTTAAAATATTAATAGTGTATAATGTTAGACAAAATGTAAATCAATATTATATATAATAAAAACAAACATTAGATATAAAATATTTGTCTATATTAACATAATTGAATATATGATTTTTTTTATTGATAAATATCACAATAAATACAAATATTAATATAGATTGAAAATATTGATATAGTTATACAATATTAGATATTAATATATTTGAATATACGATTGCATTAACATTTATAATACTTAACAGGTAGTGGGTGTACTTTACATACAAATGATAAGTAAGGGATACAAATATATTCAAGTATGTATTAAGTTTCAACTTTTCATTTCAGTAATGATCATTAAATAATGCCACAATGTTTGATGTTATTAATAAATGTCATTATAAAGTGTGACCCATGTTACTTTATTCTGTAAGGTTACAGGTGCGTCTTTGCGTAATTCAATTAAAAAATTGATTCAGTTCAATTCGAGTTTATTTTTATAGCACTTTTCACATATCAGCACCGTTTTACATAATGTTTCAAAGCAGCTTCACAGAAAATGCTACATTTCAATGTTACAACCAGGAACTCTTCTGTTATTGATTAAACATGCGTATTAAAGCTGGCAAAATCTGTTCTGGTCAGTTTGGTTTGTTTATGATGCCTGTATCATATTTGACTACGTTTTTCTCCCCTCTCTGTTCATTCTGGTCGACTGAGCTCTTCTGAGATGAGGGATATAGTACAAGTGTCTGTAATTCAGATTCCATTGGTCTTTTTATAGCGCGTGACCTTTTTTAATACTAAATATCGCGGTGAAACTCTTGAAAACACGCTGGGAGTGAGACAGAGCAGAAAGGGAGCCAGTTTACTAATGTAATTTAACAATTAACACATTTTAATTGGTTAGCAGCACTTGCCGTTTCGGGAACTTGACAGATTCCTTTTTTTTAATTAATTAATTAATTTTGAACAATACTAAGCATTACAGTTCAGCATGCATTATGATGCATCCATCCCATTCACAACTTGTGCTTGTTTGCCTGCGTGTGATTGGTTTAGAGTGGTTTGTTTAAAGGTTTGAAGAAGGGTTTTACATTATGAGAACGTTTTAAGTTTTGTAAAAAACATGTTGTGTTGTCTAGCTCTTCATAAGCAGATCAGAAGAACCTGTAATGTAACATCAGATAGTTTATAATCTCCAAAGAACCATTTAGCTCAACTCCGAAACCTATAAAGAAGCTTTGAAGATGTTTCTAAGAGTGTGGATGGTGCGCAGGCATTGTGTTTGTGTGTGACGTGTGTGTGTGTGTGTGTGTGTGTGTGTGTTTCAGATCCTCAGTTGAAGGGGATAGTGACCAGGCTCTTCAGCGAGCAGGGCTACTACTTGCAGATGCAGCCGGATGGAACAGTTGGCGGGACCAAAGATGAAAACAGCGACTACAGTGAGTCTCTCTCTGTTCCCGCTGTCCTGTGTCAGAAACTGATACGATCTGAAATCCAAAAAGGAAATCAAAGATGTGTTGGATTGCATCAGATCTTAATGTTCTCTTTTCATGCATACATATATGAATGTTAACCCATGCACAAATATAAATGAAATGAATACTTTTATTCAGCAAGGTTAAAAGGTTTTAAAGGTTAAAAAGGTTTAAAAGTGACAGTAAAGACGTTTATAATGTTACAAAAGCTTTCTATTTCAAATAAATGCTGTTCTTTTGAACTTTCTATTCATCTGTGAATCCTGAAAAATAAAATGCATCACGGTTTCCACAAAAATATTGTGCAGCACAACTGTTTTCAACATTGCTAATAATCAGAAATGTTTCTTGAGCAGCAAATCAGAATATTAGAATGATTTCTGAAGATCATGTGACACTGAAGACTGGAGTAATGATGCTGAAAATACAGCTTTGATCACAGAAATAAATTATATTTTGCAATATATTCACATAGAAAACAGTTATTTGAAATATTAATAATATTTCACAATATTACTGTTGTTGCTGTTTTTCTTACAAATAAATGCAGCCTTGATGAGCAGAAGAGACTTGACTCCAAATGTTTGATATATGTATAATTTTATTATCATATTTTTTTACATTAAGAAAAATGAGGCCAGATGCATTACAATAATAAGAATTTGAAGGGAAAATGTGTTTTTCACCATGCAAAACATCTTAATGATCCTAGAGTAGACATCATTTGTCATTTTAATTATTTAAATGAAAAGTTTCTCAAAATGAATAATTTCTTTCTTTTGATTCTGGGGTGACATTTTCTTGATAGAACAGAGAACCCTTGTCACGTGTGTGTGTGTGTGTGTGTGTGTGAGATCTCGCCTGATCTCACAGTTTGCGTGTATTTCTCAGATCTGCATATGCATTAGTGACACACACACTCGCACACACACACGCACGCACACACACACACACACACACTCACACACACACACACACACA